TCGTCACTCTCTATCTCCGTTTATCTTTGACTCTCTATCTTTCTCTCTCTCTCTTTCTCACTCTATTTACCTATCTCTTTGTCTTTCTCCCCTATTATATTCTCTCTTTTTATCTCTTTTATATCAAGTTCTGAGTACAAATTTCTTGATTAAATTAAATATAAAATCTTCCTTTCTGACCACGTAATTTATTATATACTTGTGCAAATATACATATTTTAATATAAAACTTTTAGCATATCAGTCCTTTCTAAATTAAAGATACTTGAGTTACACTAGCTTAATGGAGATAAAGCACTTCCATCCGCAAGCCACTTTTGCTTCTTTATTTATTTAGCTGGTGTAACCCACATCCCATTTAACTGCTCTTAAAAAAGGCAAGCTTAAAGAGTGTTACCACACTCATATAATATTATAATTTAATTCCAATTTTTTTTTTCGTTGTTGTGTGTGTTTGTTCCACAACTATGGCAACATTGTCCGCAGCTGCTGCTCTGCTGCTGCAGTGTCATATATATTTAATTATTAATATAATTAATATTTTTTTCGCTTGCACCAGCGAAGTGTGAATAATTTATGAAACCGAAAATTGCATTGCATCAACAAAACCAAAAAAATAAGTACAAAAATGAAAATAAAGAAAAAACACATAAAAACTAAGAGCAATTAAAAAGCCCAATTAAATGTGAATATTTAAATTTATATAAGAGTAGCAAAGCAAAGCGAAATAAACTATAGCATTATTTTTGGCAGTTGAAAAACCCTTTGATAAGATGTTTTTTGCTTTGATTTTGGCCAGAGCGAAAGCGAAAAACAAAAACGCAACAATTTCCATCAACTTTGAAGGCATCTAATTGACTTTGAAGCGCTTTTACAGCGATTAACTCGAATGTATCTCACAGATACACGCACCTACGTGCTGCACTAACTGCTGACTGTGTATATATATATGTGTGTGTGTATGTGTGTGCATATATATTACAGCTCTCACTTAAGTTCATTTAAAGTTTTGCTTAAATTTTTGCCGCGCCCAAAGAGCAGGAGCAGCAGCAGAGGCAAAGGCAAAAGCAGACAGAGCCAGCTTATGTGCTAAATTTAAAACCTGCATGCCATTTACCAACACACACACAAGCACACACACTACACACTCACACACATTCATGTACAAGCAACTTACATATGTTATTATCGCACAAACTCGCAAATTTTCGCCCGAGCGCTACGGCTCCCAAATGTATGCTACGTTTTTCAGCATTTTTCTTGCTGCGCTGCCTCTGCCGTCTCGGCTGGCTCTGCTGCTGCTCTGCCCCCAATGGACGCTCGTACTTAAACATATTTATGCTAGTGGCAGGACTCGTCGGTTGCTGCTGCTGTTGCTGTTGCTGCTGTTTGTTTTGCAGCTCGTTGACATTTGATGTCACTGTGTCAGCGGCATAAAAAATTAAAAGTATTAAAATGATGCTGAAATCCCATGCCCAATCCTTGGTCCACCCAGATGTTTAGGAGTGAGTGCAATAGAAAGAGAGAGAGAGAGAGAGTGGGTGAGTGGGAGGGAGAGAAAACAGCTGAGCGAATCGCTAGCATAATATGCGTAATAAAAACTTGCGGTCGGCCTTTCTTGCCTTCGGTTTGACCTTCTCCATGGCAACTTTGCAGCTCTCAACTGGTGTCGACCATGAGAAGGGACAGTTTGTTCTGCTGTTGTTGTCGCTGTCACTTTCGTTGTTGTTGTTGCTGTTGCTGTAGTGGCTGTTTGTGCCTTCTCAGCTGCTTGTTATACTCTAAAGTAAGTGAGCTGTTTTGCTCTGACATCATTTAACATGACAGGAAAGTGAGTGGACGCTACTCTAGGCAGTGGTCGACTAATGTCAAGAGTTGGCGTTAATGTCGCTTTTGAAAAACTTGCTAAACTCTCACAAAAGTTAAATGGCTTTTAGCTTCTAAAAATAGAAATCATTTTATATGTTTTGCCATTTTTCATGTCAAGTTTTATTTCTTGTTTTTAAAGATTTTTTTTTATTTACTATATAGCTATGTTATAAATTGATAATGTGTATCAAAATCTATGTCGAAATTGATGTAAAAGTTTATTTATATATAAATATGTCTACCATAGATCGTAGATAACTGTTAACCGTTCTATTGTTTCATTGGCTTTCACTCTCGCTCAGAATAAGAGCCTTCGTTTCATTTCGTTTGTGTTTCGTGGGACGCTCTTTTAGCGAACATCGTTATGATTGACGATTTGTGAGCTATGATATATACTATACATAAATATATATTCCAATGGCTTAGTTAATATATGAAATTAATGTGTACACAATTTAAATATGTCTTATTTTATTGGGTACTTCGAAGCGTAGACATTAGTTTCTATAACTTATTCAGTATAAAAATTTAGAAATACGCATACTAAATATTATCTACAAATGTATAAAAAATTGTTAATGCTCAGTTATGGTTTACAAAAAAATAATAATAATTATACATATATA